GATTTCGAAGCACGTGGAGATTCGAGGCACATTGCGCCCAGAACAGCGGCACGAAAATTTGGTGAGGCCTCCTTGCCTGCCGACCGACCACATTCCCTCCCCACCCGATTTCCTCGTACGAGAACCTTATCCGCCTGGCTGTTTCGTCGGGGTTCGCTCTATCTACGCGCGCGTTAACATCGACAGCCGAATCGTCGGCCCGGTTTTGCATGAACTGTCGTAAGCCGTGGCTCACGATCGGTTTCAATGGGACCTCCATCGTTAAACGAGATAACTAAGCCGACCGGAACTTCTCATCCGCGAATCAATCAGTCTTGACCCCGCGAGGAGTCGGACCGTACGTAACAGTACCCAACGGTAATTTCATATATTTCGCGAAAAACAAGAAAGCAAGGGAACAGGCGAGCGAGAATGTTGTTAACCGGTTTACACGGTTTATCGCGGTGTTAAATTGCAGAACACACTCTCGCGCGATTCGATAGGAATCGTGCGGCGTGAATTTAATTAACAGGTACTTTAGTTCGGCGAGAAGATCACGGTTGAAAGAGTCACGGATAATGAGCTCCCTTAAGGAGGAATAAGGCTCACCTAGCGATCGGGAAGTGCGTGCGGAGTCGCCACGTGTTAGCTGCAGCTTAGCGGCTCCTCGTGCCGCATCCCGGCAGCCGCGTTATCGCCTTATCAGCTCCGCCTTCCTTCCTTTCGCGTTTCAACCCCTTCGGAATGCTTCTTTCACTCCCTTTCTCTCTCCCTCTTTCTCTCTATCTCTCTCTCGCTCTCGCTCTGTGTACCTTCCTCGATTCTCTCGCCTCCTGCGGCTTAGCTCGCACCGATCGTTGGACGTGCCGCGTTTAAATCACCGTGCCGATCGGCGGAGCACCGTTTATCGGGGAGACGATCGTTCTCGCGCGTTCCTCTTCCGAGACGAACGTTCCAGGACGCGGCCAGGGATTCGTCACTTTAACACAAATTCACCGACGACGGCGGCGGGTTGACCGTGAAGACGGCGTTTTACATTCGATCGTCGCGCGACAGCGGCGATCGATGATCGATGGATTTCGTTGCCGCGAAACTGGGCCGGCCGATTTGAATCGGTGGCTCGTGATTATCCGCCGGGACCCGTTTAATGGTCACTCAAAGGAAGGACGATCACAGGATCGTAGTCGATTTCTCGTGGGAAAGATCTTGTGGACTCTGTTCCAGCGAGTCGCTGCCGCGCGAAAAAGAAGATCGCGGGTTCGCACGATTCAAAGGAGCGCTGATCGAACCTTCGATCCTAGCAAGGGTATCGGTGACGGAGAGCGGTACCGGCGAATAATACCCGCCGAAAGGTCTATAACGTATTACGTTCAATTTGTCCTCTCCTCCACTGTCACTGTCTCCTTCGTCCTTCTTTCCCTTTTTTTCCTCTTCCTCTCTGTCTCTGCCTCTATCTCTATCTCTCTTTCTCTCCGTCTCTTCACCACGAAAGAATGAGCAACCACACTGGTTTACTGTTCCGTTCGCGACGAAGATGTTCTGCGGACTGATAACCTGCCGTCTACTTACCTCCGGCGAACGCCCCTAACGCGCCGAACTCCCTGGCACGACAGGTGCTCCGAAGGAGGAGTGGGAATAAGAGGATGGTTTCGCGGAGGGGACAGGGATAACCTACTCGTAGCAGCGGCGGCGGCGGCGGCGGCGGTGGCGGCTCTCGCCGGTGTGTACGCATTTGCGAGGCAGAGAGTGAGAGGGAGTGAGAGCGGCGGAGTGAGAGAGAGGGAGGGAGTGGATGAGAGAGAAAGAGAGGAAGCGAGCCAAAGAAAGAGAGCAGATTACGGTGTAGCGAGAGGGACGAAGCTCGGCGAGAGAGAAAGAGTGAGAGGGATGAGACAGAGAGCGAGACGGTCAGAGTAGAACGACGACGACGACGACGGCGGCAGCGGCGGCGGCGGCAGCGGCGGCAGGCTGTGCAACCAGCACCGAGCAGACCGAAGAGAAGAGGGCAACGACACCGCATCGCGGGTCGGTGGGCTTCGACACATTTCCCGAAAACTACATCGCCACCACCGCAACTGTCACCGATGTAGCCGTTTGGATTCTCCGAATCCCTCGATAATTGACCGATCGCGACACGCGAGTCGACCGACGTACGCACGCCCCGCTTGGCCGGCTACTTTTCGCGTAACCCCTTTCGGATGATTATCATCCGAGAGCATAGGTCTGGCGTTATTAATCTGACGTCCCGGCAGGTCGTAGAAACGTGTCGATAATCTGATGCGATCGGATGTGGACTACGAGGACGGTTAGCTTGTATTCGAGGTACGCGGATTTCGAATGATGCAAAGCGCGAGGAAGAATGCCAGGAATTAGGGTATCGAGTTTGTCATTATTTAGGGAGACGTCGGGTGGTCATTCTCGATCGTTGGCCTCGTCGGTGCCCGGCCATTTCGTAGCCGGACCGCGTTTTCCACCTCCCATCCTTCTCGTCTTTGCCACTATCGTGCCACCTCATCCTCTTCCTCCTCCGCCTCTACCCTTCTCTTCTTTCTCCTCTTCGTCTTCTCCCGTAGTCTTATACGTACATGCCTCACCCTTTTTCTTCCTCTCGTCCGTGCCTTTCCTCTTTCTTCGACTAGGGCAGCTCCGGGAAGACCGATATCTTCCGAACGATCAGCGATGTGGCCCTTTCCTTGTTGCGTTCCACGCTCGGAGAAGTCCCGATGACTATTCGCGGTGGCATATCATCCGCGATCCGATGTCGCCGATCGGATGATCCCTCATCCCCCCCGTGCACGGCCGCGCGCTGCGCTTCGCAACGGCTATCACTCATTTGCAATTTTACTATCTGATTGACAATGATATCCGACCTCCTTGGTTTTTCTCTCCCCGGCGGAGCGTTCGCTAACTAACGTCGCGGAGAAGCCCGCCACCTCGAAGTTTCATCGTTCCTCGTTTTTCCTCCGGCCGAGCCGCGCACCGGTCTCCCTTTTCCCCTATCGATATCTGTCGTGTACCCCCGGTACATTCTCATTCCTCCAATTGTGGCATTCCTTATTCTCCGCGCATCGTATTCCGGGTTTGTTCAACATCTGAATGACGTCCGCCATCGATCATTCCCTTCTTCCCTGATTTCCGCGTAGCTCTCCTCGGCTAACTGTTCACCGTGACACATTCTCACGGTTGCGTAAAAATGTCGCCGGTGCGATATCGAAATTAATTTCGAATGTTATTCAGTCACGGGTCGTCGATAAATATTCATGACACGCGGCTCGAATAGGTCAGCCGGGTATACATGCTCACCCCTGTGGCCGGAGCACCGGTGACTCGGCCGCGCGCGCGAGAGAAGAGCCGGCCGCTAGGACGTCCCTGCTGCTGCTGCTGCCGCTGCCGCTGCTGATGGGCGAGTACGGGCAGCAGGTCGACGAAAAAAGAAACATTTTCCGTTTTCAAGATCGCGCTAAAAACCCGATGCAGTCTCTAGCGCGTTCTGAGAAGGATCGGGGTCGCGGGACCGTCGGCACAAGCGTTCGTTTACGTGAGAAGATGCGAGAAGACGCGACGCGAGGCGGGGCGGAGCGCGATGGGCGATCCGATCCGATCCGAGGCGAGGCCAGGCGAGACAAGACGAGACGAGGATCAACCGAGGCGTCGTCGTCGTGCGCTTAACTGCCCTAAAAGGCAGTTCTTCTCTCTTTGCTACCTAGTCACCGTTGTCTCCAGGAGTACCTCGCGTACGCCGAGGTGTCCTGAACGCGTATCGCGTGATCGCGCGCCTTCCGTCTACTATCGACGCCTCGAATTTCCATCGATCTAGATCTACTCCGCCACCCGTATTGCCTCGAATTAGTATTATTATCGTTATTACTGTTATTACTGTTATTCGCGTTATTTTTATTATTATTCTTGAGCAATCTATTTGCATCATGACTGCAATTGTGTGATCTGTCCCGTCTAGGTAGTTGTGGATCTCGCGATGGATGCGTGGCACTGGGAATCGAAGCATGTATGATCATTCTTAATTGAAATGTTGAGTTATTTGTAATATATTCCAGTTTAACCAGTCAACTATGTTTCACGACACGTCATCTTAAAACTCGAAATTATACTAATATTTTCAACGATAAATTAGTTATTTTGTTAGATACACGTGTAATTATTCTTCGTTTTGCTTTAGTTTTTCGTTGGAATATATTATGGGTACATTTGCACTGTGTTTAACGAGTATATACTTCATTGCTTGACTTTATTGCGTGCACAATGAGAAAGTATTGACACTAATTCTATAGTTAACTGGTTAAACGGTTACTAGTGTTCTTTATCGATAATTTATTATGGTAAAGTTTGGAAAGGAAGGTATGATATAGATTAATAAATATAACAAAGTATTATAAAAATTGTGGAATATTTCGTTGGGGAGATACTGATTGATTCATCTTCGTGAATTATTTCACGTCCCGTGATACGGAGCAGTCATCTTTTGCGAAATATTCCGCTTAGCGATGCAAATGGGTTAACGGGTTTGAGGAATCTTCTGATCTGAAGCATCGCGGAAGATCGAATTTTTAAAAATATTTCTTGCTTTTTATAATGCTGAGAATATATTGTAAAAACGATTTTGTATTAAATGTGAAATTACGAAACAGATTTAACGACAGATTTAAAGTATTTGATGTTGTTAATGACTTGTGGATATGTATCACATCAGTGCACTAGATGTTATAAATTGAGTTTTCTATCGTTATATTTATTAATAATTTATACTTAAAATTTATATTTATATTTCGAAGATCTTTTAATTCACTATGATTTTATTACTCTGTTGAATAAAACAATTGAGTATTTGTATGCAGCTATGGCAAATATTTTCAAATTTTAATTTATCAATTAATAATGTATTATATTTATTTTTAAAGATGCAAGAAAAATTACGGCATGTGTGGAATAGTTAGACAAATTTTGTGTAAAGTTTTAAATGTAACTTATAATTTAATTACAGTCTTGTAATAATTGTCGCAGTAAGATTTGTGATAGACTGATTTACTTGTTTTATTTAGTTGAGGTATAGAATTCTCTTATGCGCCAATTTGCCTTAAAATATCAATATTAGCGAGAGATTTCTCTCCATGGTCGAAGTATTCCAGACTCACTGCATAAAATGAACTTTCAAGACTAATCGGTATCTGGTGGAAATTTCTAACTGTGGGTGAAAAAAACTATTGAGAACTTATTTCAATAATAAAAGTAACGATAAAAATTCTTCAATACTTGCCATAAAATTGTTTGTAAAAGTTTAAACATGTTCTTTTTGAAATATAGTTTCTTAATCACTTCTCACATTTTGTTTAGAAACCACTAGCTCAGTCGATGATTTAATTAATATATCAAAGCTTTTAGAACTAGTATTACTGTAATAAATTAACAATTTTTATTCTTTATTATTAATTAAAACGAAAGAGAAAGTGTTAAAAGGACTGTCTATTATTTCGTGTAATTTGACGTTAATTTTATTCACCAGTATATACCTACTAATGTATGTTGTTCAGTATTTTTAAATAAAACTTTTTCTATTCTCAATATAAATGGTATGGAACATTTTTTACATTACTTTTTATCCACGAACTCTCCTTTGAAGTATATTTAAAATAATGCAGAATTATTGTTTTCAAAAATTCTTTTATAATAAAAAATACAGACATTTATATGATGATGTTTACATTTTTAATAAATCTAATGTCGACGCTACAGTATTTTGGTTATTCTAATTGAAATGTTTATTGTTTATTCACCTAAAATGCCATTTTGATCTTGTGCACATTCGTGAATCGTACGTACCATTTCTTCTCGTAAAAATGTTTAATATTTCGTTGGCATTATCATTTCCAACGTACCAAAGTGCATGTATATTTGTGCAAAGAATTTTTGCTCGTAAACTTTCCATTTCTTGAATATGTGTCTTAACTGCCGTTCCCTACAGTTGAATTCCATACGTTCATATTACAGATTAAATATGAACGTCTTCTTATTTTTACTGGGCTTAGGCTTCCTGGATATTAACCAGTACATAAAATATGTTTTACTTCTCCCAAGTATTTTACTGAAGCTCATTGTGGGTACGACAGTGTTGTTCACTTTCAGTTTGGACGATGACGAAGATATCATTTTGTACGATGGAAATAATATGTGCACATTTGGTGGCGTTGATTTTAATCCTGTTTCGACGTTAGCCATTTTTTAAGTAGTATAATATGGTTTCATAAATTACAAATAGAAGTGCTGGTAACATCCTGTACGAAAATTACGGAGTTGATATTTGCAACTGAAGGATACTTGTAATTTTTGAAAAAAACTCGATAGTAATATCACATATGATTACAATTTGTTCTAATTTGCTATTGATGCGATAGATAGTGTAACAATCCAGTTTTAAAGGTGACCATCGCGTACATTTCCTGTTGCGTATGGTCTAAAATCTTTTTTATACTATAGTAGCGAGTATTTTATGTTATATAATATACTTGTTTAATCATATAATTAAAAAATTGAATAATTTCGCTAAAATTTCATGAA